CCTGATCTCCTGGCCAGCCTCTGACCCCCACCTCTGCCAGCTCTGCTTTCCGGCCCCCTCTTCCTTCCAGCCAGCCCCGCTCCCCTCCTGACCAGACCCTTCCCCCCCAATGAAGTGTGTCCAGTATTTATTTTAAGACTACCTGGTAACCCTAGGTTTGACCCTTATCCCTACCCAGAATTCCACGGAAGTCAACAGTTTTCTGAACATACACAGAAGTCTACCTGCAAAGATGAGAACACAGAATCAGGGTCTATTAAAATCTTCTAGTTTTCAAACTTTCAATCAGGACTGTTCACATGCCAATTTTTAGAATTCGTCTGTTTTTGCTAATATTACTTTTTGTTTTTTAAAAGAACACTGTTAGGAATGTATATAAAACTGACTATATTTAATGAATACAGGCAGTCCCCGGGTTACATGGATCCGACTTACATCGGATCCCTACTTACAAACGGGGTGAGGCAACTCCACACTAGCTGCTTCCCCCCAGCAGACCAGGGAGACGCGAAGCTAGCACCCCCGCCAGCAGACCAGGGAGATGCGGAGCGGCTTTTCTCAGCAGATACCTCAGCTTGAGAATAAAGGACTGAGGGAAGTGAGGTGTGGGAGAATAAAACTGAGCTCTGGAGAAATGTCTGGCTAGAGTTTCCCCTACAATATGTACTAGTTCCGACTTACATACAAATTCAACTTAAGAACAAACCTACAGTTCCTATCTTGTACGTAACCCGGGGACTGCCTGCATAAGAAAAATTAACACTCCCCCCCCTAAACTTTCCCTTGGTATTTTCTAATCTTTCAGCTTTAATGATTTGTAAAATAGAGTAATTGAGTACAGGCAGTCCCCGAGTTACGTGGATCCGACTTATGTTGGATCCGCAGTTACGAACGGGGATTTCTCGCGCCGGAGAACTAGAGCAGCGGGACGCCTGGTCCCGCCGCCCGCCTTCTCCGGGGCGAGAAAAGCTGCTCCCCATCTCCCTGGTCTGCTGGCTCCGCCAGCAGACCAGGGAGACGGGAGCAAAGCGGCAGAGCACCGGGGGCCGGACCCGCGGCCGCTTCCAGATCAGCTGGAAGCGGCGCGGGTCCTGCCGGGTGCTCCGCCGCCTTGTTCAGCGTCTCCCAGGGCTCCCTGGTCCCGCCCCCGGT